TTGATGAAAACGAAAAGTAAAACAAATGGTTCTTTACTGTCTCTTTGGTTACCAATCTAATTAATTCTAAGTGAGGCTACAAGCTACTGATCGGCGACTAAAAGCTATCTTAAAAGTTTTAGATTAGAGATTAAGCTAAATTGTTTTGAGATTCTACTTTCATATCGAGCAACGGCTTTCGCCAAGAACCAAGCTTGGCGAGCGTCCGCCAAAGACTGATCTAAACACTCACCCTAAACTGCTTGCCACTCAAATGTGTATACTTTTCTGGAATGAGCGGATTAAAATGATTTTTACAATGAAGATAAAAATTAAACTTAATTTGTTAGTAAAACTTATCTATAATGTCACAATCTTCGAAATCTCCTTAATAAACAAAAATAATCAAGATTACTATGAAAACCGGTCAAGGTAAATAATTTTTAGAAGCATACAGCATATTAATAAGGTAGTTCAAACTGTCTAAGAAGCTGAAAATATTTCTAGTGTGATGCAAAATATAAATATTTATTTATTAAAATATTAGAAGAGATAAATTTTCTAAGAAACACGCATAGCAAAATAGGATTTCGGCATAGCTTGTTATCATGATGCATTTCTTATTTTTCTGCGTTCTTAGATTTTAGCTCCTCTCAGCTGTTCGAGACTAAAATCTTCTATCATTCAATATTTCCTTTTGATCTGACAGTTTGTATCTTACGCAGAGCTCTTCATGGAAGTCGCCCTGATTGCTTACAAATAACTCTTGCAATTTCAAACTATCTGTAGAAACAGACTTAATGTAAAAGAAGAAAATAAATACCAAGGTACAGAATCTCTTAAGTTATTACATTTAAGTAAAACAAAGTGCTCCATTCCGAGATACCTACGCTCTTTTACTAATTGGAATAAAAAGCCATAAAAATTAATGGTTAGCTACATTTCTGAATCACATGAATTTTAAATCATAAAAAATATATTATTAAACATTAAATACATATTAAATTAGTAATAGCTTTTGTTATTTTTAAATGCCTTAGTTAAGTAAGCAGTTACAGACTGGTTAAATTTAAGAGATAAATCAGCGAATCTTATTCTGGTTTGAACGACAACACTCCAAGGACCGCTCAAACAGAATGAAACTTTGAAAATAAGATTAAAACCTTGTTTTACACAGTGGACGCTTGGCAAGTCGTGTGGACGAGCACAACATGGAAGTTTGACGTAATGAACAATGAGCAAAGCAAAATTAACCCAAGCTAAATGAAAATATATTTTCATTATTAAAGAAATATTGTAAAATACTTGTTTACAACCGAAGGCAATTTTACTTCAAAATATATAATTTCATGTTTGCTGTCTAAAAAATACATTTCGTATTCTTGAAATACTAGTTAAACAAAAGGAAATTAAAAGATTGATTATTTAATGTCTCTCAAACTTTGTCGCACACTAAGCAAAATCCATTACGTTAACTTAAATCTAACACTCCCTTTTTTGACGGAAGGAAAAAAAAAAAAAAAAAAAAAAAAAAAAAAAAGGGCAATAAATAGCCTCAGGAGGTTTTCTAGATGGAAGAAATCAATTCAACGGAAGATCTTTCAAGGAAAGAAAAATCACGTATTCAGAGGAAAATCTTTATAAATGGGAGCCTATTAACTATAGTCTACTGTGTTTTTGCAACTAAAGTGAAAATTTGATGGAATATATAAAACGAAATTCTGCTAAACGTGAGTTCCCCTCCCCCAATTATATGCCTTAAATTACGATTTTCAGTTGTTTGATTCCTCCTGTGAGAGAAACTGAGAAATGCTAAAAGCTAACCTTTCTGGGAAAAACCGTGTTATTGTTGATACAGATTTCAAATACTGTGAAAACTAGAAAGCTTGCGGGGAGCTAACTGTTTGTCGGAGCACATAGTGTGAAAAATCAAACGCGGCCTCTCTGGAATTCGAAGCATTGATATTCCAGTTGCCAATTGGATATGCTAACCATTTACACTACAAGAGCACACACGGCGGAAGGTGATAATTCGCTAATTTTTGTCTCACCAAAAGAGCGATTAGGATGATGGACGAGACCTATTCTACCATCTTCAGATAGTGACGAGCCCACCAGCGGCCGAGCGGTAAAGACGCTGAACACTGGTAGTTCGGTCCATGGTTCGAATCCCGCGAACGGGCTGGCATGGGCGTTTTCGTGGTTTTCCCCATGTGTAACGTGTATACGAGCCAGTTTCCCTTAGAAAGTCCTCCACGAAGGCATCCCTCCCTTTAGGCAGATAGCCCTTCTTGTGCTTTGCCATACTTACTAAATAATCCAGTAATAATAATCCAGATAGTGACGAATTATCGTGTTTAACATTTTAGTTCTGTTGCCACTGTAAAGACTTCTAACTTTTTTCGGAGTAGGACATGCGAGAAATCAACGGTGCTATCCATGGGTTTGAACCAGGGATTTTGCAACTGCAAGCGGGATTACACCACCAAAAAAAAAAAAAAAAAAAAAAAAAAAAAAAAAAAAAAAAAAAAGTACGATATAATGCGATAATTTCTTATATGTTTATATCTTATCTGGTATAAGCGCTGGTCGAACTGATCACATCACATTGTAAGTAATGTCTGTTTTTATTTACTTGGCGAATAGCAAGTAAGCCGTTATCATTTCTGAGAGATCATAATAATAACATGTTACATTTAAAATTTCTGCGAAATATTTTGTCTTAAATTGTTTTGTAATTTTTATGAATTACCTGTTCTATAGTGGAAAACTGTTCACAGATAATGTAATTTTATTTATAGGTCTAAAAGAAGGAACTGAGGATGTTCATGAAACTCAGCGGACAGTGAGAAAACTAGCCGTACTGATGGCACTGAAACCTAGAGCAACGTTACTCGACAACGTCCTCTTGCTTCCCCTATGCATCCTTGATGATCAAAAGTGGTGGGAGCATGGGACAGTTAACACGACTATCGTAAAGAAGGGTAACACAAATTTTTAAACAAAAAAAGAATATTACTACTACTATTAATAACGCATTATAAAAATACATGTAAAATATTTTATAAAATATGATTTGCGTAAATTTTAATGGAGTTTGTTTGTTCCTGTTTCTTCATGAATATTTTTATCGCGAAATAAAATCATGTGAGCACGTTCGTTTAACGGAAGGAAACAAATTTTATTTGTTACTGAAAAAAATTGTTAAAATATCAATAGAAGTACCTGTAGTTTATGTTTCGAATATTGAAGAAAAAATTCTAGGACTTCTTATCTGAAGAAAAACTGGCATGATTTGAAATTTAGTCTTAGTTTACAGAGTATTCGATTACCCTAGGTGGTTATAGTTTTAGTTGCTCGGATAATCGACTTTCTAATATATTTTAACTTAAACTCTGCTGTATTTTACCTTTATTATTTTACTTTATATGAAAACCTCACAAATAAATAAACCTCACAAATTTTATTGGTACTATTCGGTTTCGAGGACCGTAAAAAATCGCCAAACTATTGTTGATGACAATGCTGCCAAAAATAATTGCGGCAACCCTAATAATTGCGGCAAGAAAGGAAGTATAACAGTAAATAACTATCTAAGATTGATGTTTTAATTTAGATGAAAGGTTAATTTCATATAATACTTTTTTATTATTATAATTTATATGAAAAGGGCTAAACATGACTGAATGGAGCATAAGAGTAAATAACTATTTCAGATCATTATTATAATTTATATAAAAATTGCTAAACATACCTAAATGGATGCCTGCATCGCTATTTCGCTACTGACTTATCGCTAAAGCATAATTTCATCTCGTTGGTTGTTCAAACGTAATTTTCTATAATGAATTATGCCTTTTCTTTGAAAATATTCTCGGTAAAGTGCAGAATCGCTCGCTCACTTATTTGTTTGCCGCTTTTTACAAGGGTTAAAAACAATTGAATTTTTGTCAATTTTCTTTTAAGTGAAAATAAATCGATGTGTACATAGATAAAGACAAGGGTTGTGCGCAGTGCCATTTTTGTGCAATTCTAGGATTTTTTTTAAGTGAAAATAGGTCGATGTGCACTTGGATAATGCGTATGTGCAATTCTTAAAAACGCGTCAAGCAGTGGGTGATTCTGCACTTTACCCAAAATTCTATTGCCGACTTTTCGTCATGGGCAATTTCCAAATTGTTAAATCCATAGGCTATAAAAAAAAGGATTTAAAAATTAAACTAGTATGTCAATGGCGTCTTAAGAAATATAGAACTATATAAACTTACGCAATCTGAAATCAACGCGTACGCTAGATTTGGCGCGCTGTTAAATGGGCGCGTTTGCTAGATTTGGCGATTTTTGCGCATACATTTTCGCTGCAATTTTTTTTTACGGCCCTCAAAACCGAATAGTACCATTTTGTTTAATATGCATTTGGAAAAAAAGTTATATTTCAAAAATATTAACAAGGTGTTTCGCGCGCAAGAAAATTATTTATATAATTTCTTTCAGAACGGCAAACTAATTTCTGGAAATATAGAAATTATCCTGAAAATAGGAAGTAATGCACCAAATCTTCTGTTTTTCGCCAATTTATTGTGGGAAAATGTGCACAACTAAGCAATTGCGAGTTTATCGAATAACGTGCTGTATACAGACAATCCAAAAATTTTGATCTCCATCTCTCTTATTTGTTAATTAAAAAACAATAAATGTTAATTATAGTTTCCATTTAACATAAGAAAGCGCAAAATTGGAATTTTTGGTAGTTGCAGAAATTTACAAAACAATTTCTGGGTCGCTTAAATTTTTTGCTATATCCGATATCGTGAGAGAAGCAAATCTTTGTAAAATTTTCACTGATATCTTTCTAGTTATTATAAGGCACGGAAGGAATTATTCCACTTTTTGAAGCGCAAGCCCCTGCATCTCTTAGCACTCCTACGTGAATGAACCCTTCCACCCTATCAGGTGGTTGTCATGCGCGGTTTCGGCAGTCCGCCAGCGACATCCATAGCTCTATCGCTCGCACTCGCCGGCTTTTTTGTAACTTCCCAGAAGCCGCGTTTAACAGGTGGCTTCCGTTTGCTTCCGCACGGTGGTAAGTAGATGTTCCAAATTTCTCTTTATATATGTAAGCGACTTCAAGCGACTATGCATTAATATTGAATTTTGCACGTAAAGTTCTAAAAATTAAAAATTATTTGGCGGGAAAAATGATTCTGAAAGTACTACTGCTTGAGAAAGTTCTTCTTATTTCGTAAACAAGAGCGAAAAATCGTGTTTTATTACCGTGAAAAATTATTGTTGGTTTGTAATCTGCAAGAATTCTGTTTCGTAACGTAAGATGATGTCTATTTATGCCGGAATTTCAGTTTTAACTCCGAGAAAAAGCATTCTTTAATTTATAATGTTCATTTTTATAATAAAATACGTGTGATTTGTGCTCGCAACACACGTGCGTTGCGATTTTAAAGAATTAAAAAATCCTTTTAATGTAAATAGAGCGTGTTTTTGCTGACTCTCCGCAACATTATAACAGTAATAGTCCGTGCAATGTGTTTTAAACTATGAATACAAACTTGATAACAAGTTAGCAATACAGGAAGCGTTGCATAATTCATGTTTACCATGGGTTATTTATGCGCGCTTGTGCAGGAAAGAGGATTGTGCAGGACCATAGGAAAGAGAATTGTTCTAAATTAAGACGATACTATTCTTTTCTGTAATGATGCGAAAGTTTATTAATGGCTGTTTATTTCATAATTATTACCTTTACATTATAATACTGATATAAATATCTCTGTGAGCATAGCAAAACTGATATTGAAGAAGTACAGGTCTAGTAGCGGACAAATTTATTAGCATTACGCTTTCCTTTCTTTCTAAAAATTATTCCTTTACTTAAAAAAAGGGGCTGAGATGTTTAATTGTAAAAATAATTTTATTTTTAATTGATGATTGAAATTAATTCTGTAGCTCGTAGAATTGTACTGCATTAATTCGTCTTTGAGATAAAATGCTATATTTAGAATGCGTTCATAGAAGCAAATGCGTAATATAATTTAATGTAAATAAATTTTTTTTGTCTGCTCTGCTTATATTTGGCTAAAATAGTATGAATATATCTTTTATAGTGAGTTCGGTAACCAAAGAAGTTTCGCTTGATTAAAACTGAATATAGAATACGTCTTCAAAAAATGAGAATTGCTTCTCTGGCTCCTATACGTATTTCATTTTTTTCATAATTTAAATTAGTTAAAACTATGCTGTTGCATAAGAGATCCCAACATTTTCCGTCTGTATTAAAAGAACGTTTTATTAAGTTTACATTTTGGAAAATATATCCGAACTTCAAATTTAATTTTAATTTTAACGACGTTCTAAGACGTAAAATTCATTTTGTTAATTGCTAATTTGCTAATAATAATAATTGTCTTAAAAATTTAATTCAGAATTAATATTTTTTTCAAATGTTTTACTAGCTAGATTTATTGCTTTAGATTTCTTTGCCATCACTGTGGGGTGAGCCAGATTATTCTAAGATGAAATTCGTTTTCAAAATCTTTTCACTGGTTTAAGATACATATAAAATAATATGAAACTCTATTTTTTTTAGTCTTGCTAGGAGTTCATTGCTTAATTGCGACGAATGCTTGACTTAAGTATCTTTTTTATCTAGTTTTTCGTAAGAATTTTTTTTCTTCGTAGTTACTTCTCATTAGAATTGATAGAAATAAATAAAACAATATTTTATCGTAAAAAATTAAAAGAATGTAATGAAGTATTTTCTTAAAATCTGAAATAAATTCATAAATTTTAAATTATTTAAATTATAGCTTTTGAAATTACACCGGAAAATTATAGACTAAATTTGCCGTTTTATGTGTATTTTAATTAATGCTCAGGATACAGGTTCCGTGAATAACACGCTCACCTTTTACCTTGAAATTACGCGGGAAGCGTTCTTAACGCATCGGCAGAAAATGGAATTCCAGCTGCCACCCTTAGAAAGTTCTCCTCGAAGGCATCCCCTTCCTTAGGCAGATTACCTTCAAATGCTTTGCCATAATCAAATAAATCGAAACAAAACAACTGCGATCAGTTTCGCAGAAAGAAAAGATATGATTTTCTTTCCCTTCGCTTTCATGAATTTTGTACGAAGGATCAGAGGGTTGCTTGAAAAGTCAAATAGAAATTAATGCATTGTAACTCCACCAATGATTACGTACTTTCCAGTAGATTCTGTAAATAATTTTTTCAGAATTTAGCGTTATTTTACTGCATGTCATATTAGGCTCCAAAATTAAGACAATAAATATCTACTAACTGATAAATAGTTGCTCATCTCACATTCAAATAGCCATTGAATTTTATTTTTACTATCACTTAAGGATGCATTCAATTTAAAAATTAAAGCACTTGTTTTGAATTTAGAGCATTTATTTGAACTAATATTGAACACTAACCAGTTCTTTCTCGTTAGGTTACAGGTAACAAATAATTTTTAAATGCATATGAATGTACGTATCTGAAACAGTCTTTTGTAACTCGCTCAAGTCCATGTATGAGCAAATTCTTGACAATATTTAAGCCTAAACTTTCTTCTTTTCTTTAGAATTTTTTCAGTACGTTTAAATGAAAGATAAGATAATTGATTGCTAATGAGGACCTGAAAGAAGAAAAGAATGATACTCTGTTGTAAACTAATACAGTTGAATATATACTAATTTCAGTATCAGAAGAGGAAATGAAAACTCTCTATGCAAAAAGAAGAACGCATACAATAAATATAAGAAGATGATTTGTATTAATTTGTATATCATCTTTCTAGATGTCATCATTTGTATATCATTTGTATATATTGTCTATAGAGAGGAAGCTTCAGATAAATGAAACGGTATTGAAATGTTTCATGGATCAGCGTTCATCTTCAGCAGTTAGTTCTCGCGTGCGTTACCGTAATTAACTAATCCAATCCAATTCATGTGGTGACCAGACACAAGACATAATTCCCTGAGCAATGTTTCGAAGCATAATCATGTATGAACAAGACTAGACATCAACAGGACTATCGACTAGACATAGCTTCCCAACGTCTTTGTAATTACCTCCACGTAACTAGTGGGGGTACTATTAAGGAGTAATTACTGAAAGTCGCAACATAAATTAGCGATCAACATGAGCTTGCACACTGGGAAGGTTTCGGCTCCATCATTTCTGAAATTCTGGAAACTCCCTGACAAAGCATTTGGAAGTTCATCAACTAATGTGTAATGTGCCAGTATAAGAAGTACATATGCATCTCTTGTGCGGCTAATCAGCGGAGTTCCTTCCATTACATTAAATTATAAGATTTTACGATTGGGGAGCAAAATGTACTGTAGATTTTGCTAGAATCCCCGCGAATTTAATTTGATCTCTTTCCACCATGAAAAAAGGAAGTCTCTTTTCTTTTTTTCTCATTCCTTTAAGATGTAAAACTCTATTCACATGCTATATCCCGTTAAGAACCCTGACAGTGATTTTTTAGATTTTAAAGTACGCGGGTTGCATTTCAAAAGGAAAATCTTTCTAATTAGATACTGAAATGTGTTACAGCTTCTATAGTAAAAGTGTACCAAGTCTCTAGAGGCATGTTCCTTTTAAAAAAGCGGACTAAAAGTGGACCTTCATTTACGAAATACATTTGTTCATATGTTTATCCACTTCTTATATATTAGATTCTTCATTCATTTTTCTGAAGGTAGAATCTTAGTGCTGGAAAAGGGTTTTTTGCTTCAGAAAACGGGACATTTTTCAGACATTTTTCATGACAATATTTATGGAAACTTTACATCAAACTAGAAGCAATACGAATACGCAAATTTTGTTAATATATTTCTTATATATTTGTTAATATATTTGGAAAATTGTTTAATTATTTATTCGGATGTATATTAATCCGAGTATATTAATAATTTTATTCGGAGTATATTAATTATCTTTGTGACAGTAAATAACTGGGGGTCATTTTTTGGGATATGCTGAAAAACTGATATTACCTTAAATGAAATCACTAGCATTTTTGCACAGACACAAATTAATAATGAGTGATATGAGAGGCATAAGAGAAGCAAGTCAGATTGCTTTTACTTTTGGGAAAATAGGAGTACATTTTTTAAAGTATCGGATGCACTTTTCTATATTTCAGATAAGACATAAAACCTAAAATTGAGTGCTAAACGATCTTGAAAAAACAACACCACTTCCTTTTAAGATGCTTTTACTTATGACATTTGGGCAGATATGGATGCAATTTGTTGCTGACACTCATCACGAAAGTTTCTGAAGGTGATGTAGAATTCTGAGCGAAAGCCACGTCGAAAACATGTGACATCTATTAAAGCAAAATGCAAATACATGCTAAGCTGCAAAACAAATGTATGCAAATATACGAATATACCGGATGATCAAAAAGTCAGTATAAATTTGAAAACGTAATAAATCACGGAATAATGTAGATAGAGAGGTAAAAATTGACACACATACTTAGAATGACATGGAGTTTTATTAGAATAAAAATAAATGGTTCGGTAGGGGTTGGATGTACCACATCTACTGTTATCGGGCCTTTTTCCTTCGAGGAAATGCGTGATTCTGGTTTTGTAACTGCTACCGTGACGGGTGAGAGGTACGCCGATATGTTACAGAATGGCATCGCCCCCAGCCTGGCTGATAAACACCTGCTGGAACGTACGATTTTTATGCAGGATGGCGCTCCACCCCATATTGCTAGACGCGTGGAAGATCTCTTGCGCGCGTCGTTTGGTGACGATCGTGTGCTCAGCCGCCACTTTCGTCATGCTTGGCCTCCTAGGGTTCCCAGACCTCAGTCCGTGCGATTATTGGCTTTGGGGTTATCTGAAGTCGCAAGTATATCGTGATCGACCGACATCTCTAGGGATGCTGAAAGACAACATCCGACCCCAATGCCTCACCATAACTCCGGACATGCTTTACAGTGCTGTTCACAACATTATTCATCGACTACAGCTATTGTTGAGGAATGATGGTGAACATATTGACCATTTCCTGTAAAGAACATCATCTTTGCTTTGT